ATTGCCCTAGTTAATTTATTAAGTATGAGGTTGTAAATACATTTCTGCATGCCAGAGATTCCTGATTTTGAACTCTATACGTGGTTCTTTACTTCTTCAAGCTTTACTCTCTACACTGCAAAAAAATCCTTGAGGGCCAGGGACTATGTCTCCTACCTCTTTTCATCTGTTACAGTCTAATCAAGCACTCTGCTATTTATACACACTTAATCAGTAATAAATGAATTAATGAATGACTGGATACATGACAATAAATCAGACATTATAAATAGGTACAACTCAACCTAAAGGAACAGGCACTTTTCCCTTAAAAATAGTACAGTAGGGTTTGGCTTACCCAGGCCAAGGAGCCCCTGGTCTTACACACTTGACTTTCTGCCTGACAACCTGAGCTTGCAGTAAAAAGTTGGTGGGAATATGTCTTTAAGAAGCACAAGAAGGAAATAAGCAATGAATAAGAATGGGCTATAGATCTAGAGTACGAAGACGGTTGTAGTATATGACTAAAAAATTTAAGACTCTGGGGCTCTATAAAGTTGATTTTATCATTTCAGGAGTAACAAGGCCATAAACTCTTAGCTTAAAAAACACTGTGAACTTAAAAACATGACACATATAATGCAAGTGAACTCTCTACTCCTCTGAGGCCCTTGGGAAAATAATAGGCATCATGACTGTGTGTAAAATCCACTTGACAAATCTAAGCAAATCTCAAATAACGTTATATTCTGAAGTAAACAGAATGTCTTAACCTTATATATTTACCTTCAAATGTACATGAAGAGATGTCCCCTCGACTTGAAGGATGTTCCTTAGGAATTAGCCTCTAAGGGATAGCTCATTGCAAGGAACTGATTAATCCCTTATAATTTATTTAGGAAAAATACGCATTAGGTCAGAATAAGTATATCTTGTAGGTTTCCTAGGTTTTACCGGTAATTTTGTCTACATCCATAGCCAGTCTTTCTAGAATACCAATTCAAAATGCTAGCTATAAATTCAAGAGAAAATTACTTTTTCAATGCTGAATGAAGGTTTTCCATAGACATGCAGGCAGGTAGGCAAAAATCCTGGACAGACATGCTTTCAGGTTGCCCAGAGACGTGACAGAAAGCATAACCTGTCGTTTCCTTTATCTAGCAGTCTCCCTCTTGTTACCATACTGGTAATTAAAAGAGTAAGTTCACGTTCACAGTTGCTCCATGGTATCAATAAGGAAACTAAAAGCCAAACAGAAAGGACTAGATAAGGTAATAATTTTCACTAATCCCGTCGGAATAGTAAGTAAATGTGTATGCTTGGAAAGGTGAGCTGTGAGATTTGGAGAAACGTAAAACTGGAAATAGTTTCAACTGATGCCTAGATTGACTCTATCTAGAAAAAGGGGAGGCAAAGAAAAGAGGCAGGCGCATTCTCCAAGTGGCAGGCAATGGAGTTGTTTTCTGGAGTCTGCGTGTTTGCGTAAGAGGGAGATTGGGGAATACTAACATGGACAGGGAAAGGTGAAGGTGAAAAGGACGAAGACGCAAGGACAACTGCCAAATGATTCACTCCTTTCTCCAAGAGTCTGAATAGGGCCAGGGAAGGAAAAAAAAGTACATTGGGCAGAATTCTATTCCGGATAAACAACTGGTCTGAACCTGACAGCCAGAGCGAGGGGGTTATAGTATTTACTTTGTGGAGGCATATTAAGTCTTTTAGGTGAAGAGGTTACTTTTTATTCAGTGGGGAAAAATAGTTATTCACACATGGGACCCTCAATATTCTCAGAAAGTTTTTGCAGCCACATGAGTAAGCACATTATTTATGCCTTGTATTATAAAACACCACCTCTAGCTGCAATTAAAAGCTCCTACATATGCATAATGTGCCAAATTACTGAACTGTTTAAGTTTGGGTTAATCTATCAAGAACTCTCTAGTCTAGATGTCTATAGACCTTATTCAGTATTACAAGTAAGCTTTGGACAACTTTATATTTGTTGACACACACACACACACACACACACCTCTCTAAAGAGTGAAATAGATAAAATAAAACTTTATTTTATACATATACAATTTTTTTTAAATGTTACCTTATTTTTCAAAATCTTTCCTCTAAGTGACTCAGTACTGACACGTTGGACTTCAGATCTTTGACTGGAATTTACCTTTCCCTTGTCCTATGAAATGTAACATCTCAATTGACGTCTATGAGTAAATAAACCCAAAGACCTCTGTCCTACACAATACTACACATTTCAAAACAATAACAAATTCTTACTTCTCCTTTGAGCTGCGCTTAAAAAAAAAAACAGATTCCCAACAAAAATCCCGAAAACAATCACTGCAAAAACAAATGTGAAATGCTATTTAAGATATTGCCATTAGTGCATAATTTGATTAGAAGGGATGTTGAACCTGCATGAAATGAAGCCAATGTACATATGTGCACCCTAAATTTCCCAGCACTTGTGTCTCTTATTATAGCACGTGTGCAATCATAACGGACGTATAAATGGTATATTTGCACATATTGCACACTGACAAGTTTTATGAATGAATACACAAAAAATGCCCATAATTTGAGAAAATGGATGGCAGTCTACTGTTTTGAAAACGGTCATTAAGCACTGGAAGCAAAAGAGGAGGCAAAGGGTTGGTGTCTTTTGGTGCCATTCAGGGCACCTGTATTCCCAAGTCCCCTAGCCTAGCCCAGTGTGTTGCAAACAGCCAGGCAGCTCTTTCCTTAGAGACTCTTTTTCCCTCCCAGGAACCGTGCTACAGCGCGGAGACGGTGCACCACGGCTCGAAGAATAAAACGCAAGCATGTCTCTGTGCTCTGAGAGCTGTGCATACATCAGAGACATCACCCTCCCTAGATCCTGTCCCACAAGTGTGTGCATGTGAGTGTGGCATTTACCAACAAACGGAACAGAAGGCAACAGTGCTCATCGCCTAGAAATAACAGTTCCCATCCCTTCCCAGGCAGGTTGCCGGGAAGCTTCTCCGGAGCTAGCACTTGAGCGCCTTCCCCTCTGTGACAAGAGCCTTACATTAATACCCTTTCTCAGGGCTAAGTCAGCTTTGTGTGTAAGTCCACTCGGCGCCATATGGCAGTTTCCAATGCCTTTAGCAACTCAAGTCTGGCTAGGCTGCCCGCGATGATTCATTCTTAAAGGAAGACCCCTTCCGAGAGCAGCAATGCCCCCCCTCCCCCACTTACCTAGCTCCCACAGACCCGTGGATGCCACAAAGGGCTGTGGGATTCCCCGCTCCCTCGGGGGGCGCCTCTCCCTGCGACGATCCCCTTCTCCAATGATCTGTCGCTGGAAATCCCCCTCCCCTCCACCGAGAGGAGGGTCTCCCCGGCCTGGCTGGAGCTCCTGGCGTCTTTCCCTCTCCCTTTACATCCCTGACTCGGGTTCACGGTCTGTAGTAGGAAGGCTCAAAGGAGAGGCGGCGGGAGAAAGCTAGGGCATCCTTCAAAAGGAACCATCATCCTCATCGATCTTCACCCCCTTCCCCACGCGGGCCCCCATCCCCCTGCCGCCGCCGCCGCCGCCGCCCAGCCAGAGCGGGCTGGGATCGAACAGCAAAAATCGAGCGGGGCTGAGCTCGGCGCGCCAGCCGGGGCGCACGCAGGGCGGCGGGTGCTTGGTGGGTGTGTGTCTGTGGCGGAGCCGGGAAGAGGCTGGGCACCGGAGGCGAGGCGGGACGCTCGGGGGCGCCGGCCCGGCGCGCACGCCCGCCCGCCC